CTTCATACCTTTTCACATCCATTGGGGAAATTGAACCCTGTCTGCCTTAGTAAAAGGTGAGAACGTTATCTACTGCGACATCCGACAACTTTGTAGTTTATCAAAAATTTGTTTTAAGCAAAATGAAAATTTAGTAAAAGTTTTTAATTTATTTTACTAAACTTTCAATTTTAATACATTATACTCTGAATATTTAATGACTGTAGTACAGTATATTTTTAAAGTTAGTATCCGGGAGTATGTACATGTATGTGCACTGTTGATAAATCTTACACAGGGAGAAAGAGTTAGCTAGACTCTTTACTTGATCAGCTGTGTTCCATCTGACAACTGTAGATTGACATTTGACTTTCCTCAATGTTACAACATTACGGGGTCTTGACCAATTATTGTGCTGTAGACCCATCTGTTATGCTAGCAACAGTGTGACAAGGGCAGATAACCATGCTGGAGTACTTTATATACTGATTCTTCAAACCATAATTGGTTGCCAACCTATTTTCACCAAGCACCGTTTCTTGATGCCGTGACACAAATATCTTCATCAAACGTTAACCAAAACACTGTTTGGTAAAAAAACATACATGTGGTTACAGAGATTAATAAAATCTATTACCTGAGCGAGATAGGGTTATCTCAGTCGAGGGCTAAGATTCTGTAACATAATCCCAACCAAATCCGTGAAATGCTACGTAAATTAAAGGTACCAGACAAATTGGACGAGATAGAAAAATCGAGCATGGGGTATAACGTGGGATATCTCTGTCTGAGGTGCGAGAAAAACACAGCTATTAGGGTCCGTGTTGGCAAAAGAGGACATGAAACATGCCCGATACACTCACAGTAACAAGAATGGGTGCATGCGCTTGGCGGGAAGGCGTTGGTAATAGTTTGAGATTGTTCGGGAATAAATCGTATCATTTGACTCGTACATTTCTGGCTGAATAATGAGCTGTATTTGGATTGGTCAATATACAGTTTAACAAAATATATAATGAACTTTTTTTTATTGACATAGGTGTCAACCTCTGAAACCTATACAATAGTAATGTGGGAGATCTCCCTCATTCCACATTTCCAATGAGGGAGGAAGTGCGTGCAACATCACTGAAACTGCTTTGCTCAATTTATATTTCCCTTTTTATGTATCAAAGTAACTCCAAAAAGCAGATTCATTTGATTTAGAAATACCAGTTATATGATCACTACACACACCCTGCAGTAACTAGGAGATCTGACATTTCACCACAGGATGTAGATTTTGAGTTTGTGTGAGTTTGGACTTGAACGTAGGAGTTTCAAGGGAGATAGGTAAATTTTGGTCAAAATGAGGGAGTCTCCCTTCTACCGAGGGAGGTTTGATAGCTATGTTTACAAATGTAGATACATTTTTTGTATGAATGCAAGATGGTACCTCCCAATTTTATTGTCATACATTTCAAAATTGGAACAGGTATCTCGTTTTAGTTGATATACATGTATCAAAGTGCAACATCTAAACTTAAATCTGAATCTTATTCATTACATCTCCCATAGATAATATTTGATCTTTAACAGCTACAAGAATAACGATGGTTTCAGGTTTTTATAGAATCTTCCTGTTTATCTGAGATGGTAATTCAAAATGATATCAAAACTTTAAACTAAATTGAGTTACTTCCCTTTGAATGGTAAGCTCTGTTGTACAGCTAAATATTGCACAATCATAATGATCATGACGGGTTCATCGACACTTAAAACTTAATGTAGCCAAGATATTTCTTGTTCTTAATCGAAACAATTATCAGCTTCTGTTGGAAAGGACAGCACGCTTTAAGGGAATCAAATCATGAAGTACAGGATAGTTCACCATCTTGTTGCGCTATACCATCTGCACCAGGGGGGAGCCAGGAATTAATTTTGGGTGTTGCCCCAAATTTTAAACTCAGAAAAAGACTCACAAAAACTAATAAATTATATGAATTATAATTGTCATGTCGGTTGTACATGTACATGTATACTACTTTCTGGCACCAAATGATATATATATATATATATAGAACTTCATTATTTCTGAGATTGTGACAATTATAATTTCCCTGCCGAGCAGAGCGAGGCGATTTTTTTTTCTGAAGATGTAATACTAAACTTGTTCAAGCACTGCCAAGCGCAGAAAGCTAGAATTTATCGGACATTATTTCCATTGTCAAACAGATCGAATAAGGCATAGAATAGTTTTCTGAGTTTGCGGTATTATTCCAGGTTATATTTTATAACATAGAGTATTTATATTTTATGATGGCCGAGCGGAGCGAGTGTTAACAAATTCTCTGAAACAATGGTAAAAATGTAGGGTTTTGGTTAAAATGTTGACGTTTGTGTCATGCTTTTCATGTGCATGTAGTTTAGGTGAGCATTTTGGCAATTAAATATTGATTTATTTTGTCATAAATATGAATTATGATTTGACTGTTTGTCTTTTATTGTGAACTTGTATGCATGCATATGTACAAGGGCAACACCTGTTAAAAAGTATATATATATACATGCCAGGCTTTTATGCTTACATTGGTTATTATTCACATGATAACGTGATGCTAAGGTGGATGCTTTATTGTCTTTGAAATTTTTGAAATTTACATTTTTTAACAGGTATAATAAATCACTCCTGGTGATCATGTGTACATGAAACCACAGGTGAAAATACATGTTTATCTATCATGAAATGGACTCTACCTTTGAAATAACAATTAACATATATACCTAATTCCAACAGATGGTTTTATCCTCTCTTAATGGACAGGGTGATCACCACACCGTGACATAAACAATACGATTAGATAGACAGTTCGTTGAGCCTTCATCACTGACCTGACTGGAGACCCTACTAATATATAAACAAAAGAGGATTAATCCCCTATTGTTTAGAGTATAAGTAGTGGACTCCTTGTTTGGGCAACTGCACCCTTAGGCATATATAGATATTTAAACTGCTGCTTGCCATAGAAAATCATAGTTCACAGGATGGTTGATATTAGAAGAATTTAAATCCCATATTTTTGGACACAGAAAAAAGGGTGTTGCCCGGGCAACTAGGGCAACACCCCTGGGTCCGCCACTGTGCACAGCTACTAGTGCTAGGATTTGGTCCGATTTTGAAGATCGATTATCGAACATTCAAGATCGATCGGTAATCGATTATCGTTTGAAATAAATGCCAAAAAGAATATACTTTAATAAATTGACATTTTGCCCAATCATTAAAAAATATTGATATAGCTACATGTTATTTTTCTAATAACTTTATCTAAGAGATGTTCATATGATGAGAAAAGGTACTTCAGAAATTAACAATGTCCGGTAGATTACCATTTGAGAAGTGAGCATATATCTTTTCCTATCTCCTGCAGACGAAACATGATGATAGCGATCGTAACATAAACAAATCAGGTTAAATGCATTTTGGGTTACTACTTGATATGACATTTATTATTGTAAATTAAGTTAACACATTTGAAATTTAGTCAAATTGAGTTGGTCCTGTAAAGTTTATGTCCCATCATCCCTTCGCTGAAAAAGAAAGTGTTTTCATTCCGGTGGACGCCATATTTGCCGTACTTCCAGATTTCGTCAGTTATAAATATAGCCATTATGCATATACCTTACAAAACACTGCACTGACCTTGATTACTTTATGACGCTATAGCTACCACTCTTGAATGCCGGCATGATTCAAGTGAGAATCAACAAGAACGGGTGAAAGGGACGTTTTAATTAGGATTAAACTTGAGAAGCAACCGTTTGATCTTAAGAATTTCAATTTTTCATGACAATCCTACAAAAACGATCTTCTTTATGACAGAGTTTCAAAATCGATCTTTCATGTGCTAAATCGATTATTGAATCGACCTCATGTCAAGTTCGATTTAATCGATGTTTCCAGTTATCGGTACACCACTAACAGCTTCAGCCGGTACAATCATCCAGCAAAAGACATTCCTGGAGATTCATGGTCCCCTTCTCCAGAACCCAGGTATGCCAGCACTTTTTCTTTCCCGACACTATTAGGATATGGAACCAGCTACAACAGTAGCTTGTGGACATCGCCACGCTGGACAGCTTCAAGATAGCTAGGTACCCAGCAGGTACAACTGTGCTAGATGACCCCCGTTTTTAATCACCAATGTACATAGAGCACAAAACTGCCTCACCGAGGATGCACTGCATATCTCGACAGCTTCAAGATAGGTATCCAGCAGGTACAACTGTGCTAGATGACCCCCGTTTTTAATCACCAATGTACATAGAGCACCAAACTGCCTCAACGAGGATGTACTGCATATCTCGACAGCTTCAAGATAGGTATCCAGCAGGTACAACTGTGCTAGATCAGTAGATGACCCCCTTGGTTTTAATCATCGATGTATAAAGAGCACCAAACTGCTCCACACCGAGGATGCACATACTGCAGTATACGTATGTGATACTCCACTATGAGGACTGTACTTTGACAGAAAGAAAAAGCTTAATTGTGAAAGCAGAAAAATATGTCCATTTATACTGGATATTTTTGGTGCAACAGGACCAGACGATTGAATGATATTATGTGGACACTTTTTGATTCCAAAAAGGAACTATTTTTGGTCAAAATTACTGGTTAGAATTAAGAAAACTTTTGTCCAAGTGGATGCCTGGATGGTTAAAAATATTATTTATGTTGACTTCAAATCAGGAATGTGTATTGATGTACATTTAGAGTTACTTCCCTTAGACCACATTTTGTAATATATTACCAAAACATCGCGATGTCCAACGACTCATTTTCACGGTAAATTATATAATACTGACACGCTTTATGAATGGTTTACTATTTCGTCATTTTGTCTGAAAATAAACACAATATGAAACCCTAATCTACAGAAGTACATAGCACCTGTTGACGCATGTTGCATGTTCAGCCGGTTCAATTTTTGTTTTGAATTCCTATATTTCATTTTTTGTATATTTTCTTTTAAACTTACTTATGTTGGAAATTTGGACGAATCACGTATGTGTTTCCGGCTTGTGTTTGTGTCGTTGGAGGCGGCTGTTCTACAGCAGTATCTGCCATGATGTCGATATTGTACTTCACAAACTATCGATTCACTAACCAAAACATCCAATATGGCGCCTTGACAACAATGGATTGTGGGAAATATACACCCTGATAACCTTTCAACTGTTCAACTTTGACCTGTGGTTATGATAGATTTATTCACGAAATTTGAAGTGTGTGTAGGTTTGTGTGTGAAAACACGTGTCACAAATCGTACCCTTATTTATTATCTTTACATAAGTAACAGAACTGTCGTTAAAAGACATTGTTTTCAAAATCTAATTAACCACCGACTACCTGTGCAGGTGCGCTTATCATCAACCAAACGGAATATCATGACGTGACATCATCAAAGTATGGCGGAAGTCACCAATACCAACAACCCTCATCAGCTGTGATTCAATTTTTTATCTTTCATCGGTGACATAGGTAAGTTTTGAAACTTTTGTGTACGTAGTCATAATTCAAGTGTGTGTACAATACACATGGTTTACCTGTGTGTAAAGTGTGACTCACAGTTTTGTCGTAATTTCTTCTAGAAAGACACGTTGGCATACGGTTTTAGCCTTCGAGGGAAAGTGATTGGGCTGTCATGTTTATTTTGTCACTTACCGTAACCATATACTCATAAATGCTGACGGTAACGCGAGACAATCGCTGTTTAATCTTAAGACAACGCTAATTAAGTTAATATAATAAGTGATCCTGAACGGAATGTAATTGATCTTTTGAGGTGTTGAAGTGTAAACTGATAAGAGATAAGCTTTGTGGGCTGGCTATCAGTGGGCGTAGCCGTGCACATTACATTGACTTAGTCTACTAAACATTATACTTGTACAATATTGTAACAATGTTTGAAAGTAATTTAATGGTGATTTAAAGACAACAATTTGATTTGATTTGAAAAATCATTTATTTAGGACACAAGATATCTATTTGAATATTCTGATTTGTTTTATTGAACAGTTGAAGGTCAACACAACATGTCCATGTTCAACACATGCTTTTAAAGGGCCAGCTTGCCTTGTATACTGATTTTCATCTAATATATTATAACCCTGCAAAAATTATATTTGAAAATTATATTTGTGTTTTGATTTTAAATTATTCAAACCGTGCCAACTGATCATGACATACATGACTGCAACAGCATCACATAATTCCTGTTGAAAGAAATCAATTATCATATGTTGAGTTCAACATTTGGATTAATTATGAATTCATCATTTCTGTGTATATTCAAGTAGGTAATTGAATTTACAATTGCCAATATATTTCTCCCCACAACCTAAACAATTTCATTTTCAAGTTATATATGGTGGGGGTCCAATGATTCAAAACCTGTGCTTATAGATAATTATTTTCACCTGGCATTATTACAAAACCTGCAATTAATAAATCAGAATTGACTTCAAAAGACAAAGTCTTTAAATATAAAAATCGACCACCATATTTTTTCACTATATGCAGTGTATAAACTATGTTAATGCTAATGAATAGACTATACATAGGGGACAGGGGAAAGTTCCATACAAAGAAGTAAAACTTTCCCCCCCCTCACAAAAAAAAAAAGTTCTATTCACATGAATATCCTCCATATTATTGTGTCCGAATACTTTTTTTCAATTCCTTATATGTTCCAAACATTCTAGATCCACTGCATGGTCAAGGATTTGGTCATCGATGGTCAATTGAAGTTGGCGAATGTCTTATATACATTATATTGTCATAGTCTTTTTTAATGGTCGTATTTAATTTTGTGATAAAATGACATATTTATATGTTTGCCTAGGAGAGCCAACAGTTTCTTGTCGGAAACACTATAGACCAAATACTCTGAAAACTGCAGAGTCAGCGAAACTGTAAAATAAAATGCTGAAATCATGAGTTTATTCTGGAATGTTGAAGCAAAATGTCTATTCAACATTTATGTGTAATATAGTATTACAGTTGAGGTACATGTGTGTTACACATTTAACCTGGTCACAAGGTCATCTTGTGTACATACCTGTAAATTTATCACCTGTCTGACATCAAAGTCAGGTATATACCTTTCACTAAACACCTTTATAACTCAAACATACAAGTACACCGTAGATCGATAAAAACAACCCAGATCGCGGCTGATAGCGAAATTTAAATGACAAGAATGTGTCTTTATGTATTCTGTAGTTCCTATCACGTGTTTCACGACCATTGATCGTGGTACACCCACTGCACTGTAATTACAAGTACGACGTTAAATCAATATAATCAGGCTTGCAGGGCAGATTTAATGCTGATGTAACGTTTACAAAGTTTACAATAGCAAAATCATTACTTTTTCCATCAGTAGTTATTACATAAAAGAATTTTTGGGTGGGGCTGAAATTTATAGCAGATGAATCATTGTTTTGACTTTTATCAGTTGGGTTGAATACACATATTCATTTCTGAATGTTGATTATTTTCGTAGCGCACATTCATGTAATCCTAATATAATCTTCCCTTAAGCTTAACCTTTCCCTGTATACAAACCCCTTGAACTCTTTCTTCCCCTATCTAAACCCCTTGAATATGCCATCCCCATCCAACCCCTTGAACTCTTCCTCCCCATATCCAACCCCTTGAACACTCCCTCCCCTATCCAGATCCTTGAACACTCCCTCCCTCCAACCTCCTTTAACACTCCCCCCTATCGAACCCCCTGAACTCTCCCTCCCTCCTTTCCAACTTCCTTTAACAGTCATCCTCCCTACCACCCCCTTGAATTTCCATCCCTCCTATCCAACTTCCTTTAACAGTCATTCTCCCTACCACCCCCTTGAACTCTCCATCCCTCCTATCCAACCTCCCCCTATCCAACCCCTTGAACTTTCCCTCCTTCCTATCCAACCTCCTTTAACATCCCCCTATCCAACCCCTTGAACACTCCCTCCCCCATCCAACCCATTGAACTCTACCTCCCCCTATCCAAACCCTATATATTAAACATAAATATTGTATTGGTGACTACATATACTTACCAACTCTCCCTATTTAGGAGGGAGACTCATGATTTTGGACCCTTAGATTGACCATTTTTCTATTTTCTGAGATATGATGATTTTCTTCTGAAAGAATAGCTATACAAAAAAGCCATTTAAAAATATTATTTTTCCCTAGGGTCTACATACATGCATTTTATTTATGCTTTTAGTTCTGAGCGAGCGTTATCTTCCCCATAGAAATTTCAAAAAGTTGACATGAATGGGTCTATCAATGTATAGACCGAAAACTGAAGTGCACTTTTTACATAAACTGCTTTGCGGTTTATTCATAGTGCACTTCATTTTTATTTTTATCCATACATTGATAGACCAATTTATTAAATATTCCAATCCTATATCATCTACAGATTTTTTTTTTTTTTTTTACAATGTATCAGTAATAAAACTATTTACCTTATGTTGTTTGCTTACTTATTATAATTCACATAAAATATGTGATGGACAATTAACTTGTAACATAGTTACACAAATAAATACCATCTATGATGAGAAATTTGTAGCCAGGTCGTTTACACATACATCATCACAGACATGAAGGAAAATGAACACACCTGAACTGAAGGTGTTTGGTTTTATGAGTCCTGTAGTGTAACGATTTCCTGACGCTCATCCGGTGATATCTTAAATTACGTGTTGACAGAATGATTTGTCAGATTTCGTGAGTGACCTGATCCATACAGACACAGCAACAGTCTACATTATAGTACAGTAAAACTTCCATAAATCAAAATTCAGAGATTTGCATTTCTCAATGTGTCAAACTTAAGGGGATCGAAAGTCAAGAACTTTTTCTTTAAATAACAGTTATAATATTCTATTAATGAATCAATCTTTTATGTGTCGAATTTCTCATCGTTTCGAAATATAATCATTGCCTGTTCAATATGAAAATGATGAAAATTACAATTGATATATTAAGTGAAAAGTTTGACTGTACATACTGGAATATTGAAATGAACATTGGTCAATTTTACAGTACAGGGTTTAAAAATGTAATTGACAAAGAAATGTTGCATTTGATAAGATCACCAAGCAATCTAAACATGCTATTTTTATTATAGACTGGCCCCCGTCTCCAGAATATTGAACTATTTAGAAAAAAAAATTAATTAATGTGTTATCTAGGGGGAGATAAGCTAGTAATAAAATGCAGTTGAGAAATTCTTCATAAAAAAATTCTTGTTACTGTAAATATCTATATATCTAAAATAAAATTTCTTAGTATGTGTCATTAGGGTCATTTTCTGTCTGGTGTAGAGGATCTTAACGTTTGATGTCAAAATTCTCGACTCAATGTCCTGATTTTTCAAATTTTCCCCAAAACAGCAGACTTCACATGTAAGAGTCACATTGATATTCTGTCTTGTGTACAGGATCTCAACGTTCGATGTTAAACATTCTGCCGAGTCAAAGTCCCGATGTTTCGAATTTTTCCCGATGACCCGCAGAGTTTGAAACATCAAAGTTTTACTGTATACTGAAACATATATACACACCACACACATACATGTATGGTTCGCCTGTGATGTGATTTTAAAACAGTAATGACAACAATGCTGTATTGCCGAGGGCCAGATCAAGGATACGAAACCCTGATAGCCGGGCTGAATATATATATAGAGAGACTAATTGGAAAAACCTGTAAACATGGGAGCATTATCTAGATCCGTAATCGGAGTATAACAAATTTGCACTGGTAAATTGATAGCTGTTGGCTAGTTCATTAGCAAGTGTTGAAGATATATACAATATATTAAAGGACCAAACATTATTGGCTCAAGGATCTGCTTATACCACTGACAAGAACTGTAATTATGCATTGGAAACATTTTAATAGTTTGACTTTAAATATATAGTAGGGCTGCAACGATACATTAACATGACGATACGATACGTATCATGATACTGTGGTCACGATATGATGTATATCATGATACTCTGGTCACGATACGATACGTATCATGATACTGTGGTCACGATACGATACGTATCATGATGCTGTGGTCACGATACGATACATATCATGATACTGTGGTCACG